AATGGATGTTTACAGCTGTTTCTCTTCATTTTGAGTTGTGGCCCATCAGCAAATAAAGGTTCTGTGCACTAATCTTAAGCATTAGTGAGCTGAAATGGACTGATACTGGGCATTTCGAATCAATCAAATGCTTAACTATGCCTCAAACAACAAATTGAAGAGGAATGACAACACATTCATTGTCAAAAAGTGTTCAAGATCTATCTGGAAGTACAATGCTGTCTGTGAAAGTATAATATTCATGCACCTACAAGGAAGAACAATGAATACCACAATTATTCAAATTTAATCACCACCACATAGCCAGTGATGATGAAATTGAATAATTCTACCTGTTTATTCAGTCTGAAATTGATGAAGAATTAAATCAATTGTGGATTGATAGTTATTGGTGATTAGAATGTGAAGGCTGGAAGTAAAGAGTTGGAAAATATGGGCTATGATAGAAATTAAGCTGGAGACAGCATGGTAGAATTTTGTAAGACCAATAACTTATTACTTACAAGTACATTTTTTTAAAACAACATAAAACGTGACTTTACACATGGATCTTACCAGATGGTCCATTCAATTCATCATATGAATACATCTGTGGGAAAAGATGGTGGGTAAGCTCAATATCATTAGTCAAAACAAGGCCAGGGCAGACTGTGGAACAGATCATTAATTGCTCATATATGCAAGTTCAGGCTGAAGGTAAAGAAAATTAAAACAAGTCCATAAGAGCCAAAATATGGCCTTGAATATATCTCACTAGAATTTAGAGACCATCTCAAGAACAGATATGATGCATTAGACACTAATGACCAAAGACCAGGAGAGTTGTGAGATAACATCAAGAACATCCTACAGGAAGAAAGTACAAGGTCAAAAAAAAAACAGGAAAGAAAGACAAAGTGGATGTCAGAAGAGAGTCTGAAACTTGTTCTTGAGCATAGAGAAGCTAAATCGAATGGAAGAAGCCAGGGATTAAAAGAGCTGAACAGAAATTTTCAAAGGGTGTTTAGAAAAAACAAAACCAAATATAATAATGAAATGTGCAAAGACCGAGAGTTAGAAAACCAAGGAAAGAACATGCTCAGCATTTCTAAAGATGAAAGTACAGAAGAAAAATATTCAACTCTGACTTGAAATATTGAATGATTCTGTGGAAAAATTCTAAATGATGCAGAAAGCATCAAAAGAAGGTGGAAGGAATGCACAGAGTCACTGTACAAAAAAGAATTGGTTGGTATTCAATCATTTCAAGAGGTAGCATATGATCAAGAACCAATGGTACTGAAGGAAGTCTAATCTGCACTGAAGATATTGGTGAAAAACAAGGCTTCAAGAGTTGACTGAGTATTGACTGAAATGTTTCAACTGACACAGACCTGGAGGCATTCACTCTTTTATATCAAGAAACTTGGAAGACAGCTACCAGGCTAACCAGTTGGAAAAGATCCATATATGTGTCCATTGCAAAGAGAGATGTATTGCATTAGACAAATCTGATGTATAAGAACTCTTTAAAGTGTTAAAGAACAAAGCTGTCCATTTGAGGTCCAAGGATTTGTTTGACCAAAGCCATAGAATTTTCAATAACCTCATATGCATGTGAAAGCTGGACAGTAAATAAGGAAGACCATAGAAGAATTGATGCTTTTGAATTGATGGTTTTGAAGAAGAATATTGAAAGTGATGCCAAAAGAATCAATAGATGTGTTCTGGAAGAAGTGCAGTCAGAGTGTTCTTTGGAGGCTAATATGGCCAAACTTGGTCTCTTATACTTCAGACATATTGTCAGGAGGGACCAGTCACTGGAG